GGAAATGCACCCTCGCCGAGTTCAACTCGCTGGGGGCCAAGCCTCGGGGTGTAAGTTTGGAAGCAATTTTGGCTAGGCTTAGGGCTTAGAGATTAGGGGTTTAGGGTTTAGGGTTTAGGGTTTAGGGCTTAGGGCTTAGAGACTAGGGGTTGGGGCTTAGGGCTTTGGGGTTAGGGGTTAGGTTAGGGCTTGGGGGTTAGTTTAGGATACAGGTTCAGGGTTTAGGCGGTTAGGATTTGGGGGTTTCCGAAAATAGGGGACCCTAATATAGTACCCCAAATAATAGGACCCTTACTATAAGGACCCCAAAATAAGGTACCCCTAATTTGCGGAAACGCCCATTTAGGTTCGGACCGTTAAGGGTCTCATGAGTGTTATAAGGATCCTCAGGGGCGTTTGCGCTGCCACGGCTTTGGGTTGTGGGGTCCTTATGGGTTCTATGAGAAGGTTTCTTACGCATTCCATACGGGGTTTCCTAAAATAGGGGACCCTAATATGGTACCCTAACCCCGACTGTGATTCACACAAGATATTGGTACCTATATGAGGATCCCTTCAGAGTCCATATGAGGGTCCCTTCAGAGCCTATATGAGGGTCGCTTCAGAGTCCTGTTATTCTCCAAGCCCAAGATATTCTGACTACCCTCAACCGGAGAATGGGGGCTCAGTAAGTAGACCTAAGGGTCCATGCACCCAAATCGTACATACTTTGGCCTTAAAGTAGTTCCTATATCGGTACTTTGGGGCCGAAGGTTAGATACCAAAAAGATCAGGAAGCAGGTAGATATCATGTAGGTACCTCTCTATATGTGTGTATGTACGCATGTTCGTCTGTATAGCAAGTGTGTACTTGCTACGCGGGTTTTGCGTTCGACAGGATCGACCCCAAAGATCCTAAAGACCATAAAGACCCTAAAGACCCTGATCATGAAGCGCCTGCATGCGAAGATGATGCTGGCTTGCCTTCCCCTTGGCATCAAAATAGCCCAAAAGCCATTTATGATAGGGTTTTTGGGCCCAAAAACCTTAAAATATGAGTCCTTAGATGGTAAGGGTTCGGTTGCAGAGAATAAGAAGGGCAGTGTCCCAGATGCTTTGCCGAAGCTCAGTGAGGCTTTGGAGGCCTTGGTCAAACACACCGGGTTTAGGGTTTAGGGTTCAGGGTTTAGGGTTTAGGGTTTAGGGTGGGCCATTTCAGGCCACCATCGTGGGTCAAGTCCCACAATGTATATTCAGCAGCATACAAAGCCTGCTACAAAGCACGTTAGGGCATGGACAATGTAACCCTTTGCGAAGACAGGGCCACACTCGCCACCCGAATCCGGAGATCATATCAAGCCTGCCTACCAGAGCGTTCTACTCTTTGAGTACATGGACCCTTCGGGTAGGGTTGCATGTTCAGGGTTTATGGCTTCTATAGTTACTCGCAACCCTGGGTAAAATCTCATGCTCAACTCGAATAGTGCCTCGGAAACATCCGTAATGACTGGCGGTAGATGAGCAAGTATTGGGGTTTTGGGGACGCCCTGCACCCTAAACCCTAAACCCTAAACCCCTCTTGATTTTGACCCAAAGCCTCCAAGCAGCACTGTGCTAGGTTCGTCAAGGGTGCCGAGCAGGACATCCAGAAGGCTCCGACGCATATAAAACCCTAATGGCTTAGGGGCTCACGGTTTCGGGAAGTTTGGGGTCTAATATTGGTTTAGGATCCTTCCTGTAAGGGCGCCGGAAATATCTTCCACGAGTTAAGGAATCCCTATAGTGAATCCCAGAAAGTTGGAACATGGATTTAGGAAGATTAGTGCTGGGATTCCCTATGCTTTAACCCTTCAGGGCATGAGGGTAACAATGTTCCAACTTTCGGGCTTGAGCCGTAGCTGGGGTTAAAGGTTTAGGACTTAAGGTCTAGGGGTTGGAGACCTGCAAAATTCTAACTCGACCCACTGCAAACATTAACATTGGTGTCTGAAGTCTTTGAACTTAGGCTCTAGGGGGGTGTAAGTTCATGTTCGGGGTGGGGCGTCGGAAAGATGCTTGTCGTATAGTCGTTTGCACAGGCTGATTGATTTCAATAGGGTTTCGGTCTCATAAGGAAGCCTCGGAATTTTGTTAATAATTAATCCGACCCCTACAATGCTCTGACACAGATGTATTTCGGGTTTTCAGGTTCGAGGTTTTAGGGTTTCCGATTTCGGGGGGTTTAGGGTCTACATGGTACCCTAAACCCTGAACCCTAAACCCTAAGCCCTAAACCCTAAACCCTAAACCCTCATGGTTTAGGGAAACTAGAAACTGTTTTGCTGAGTTTTCGTTGCAGGGCCTTCTCAGGTAAGTCTGCAGATAGAGGCCTCAACCCGGGACCCCAAACCCGAAAGCCCTAAACCCTAAACCCTGCAACCCCAAAGCCCCGAGCTCTTATTCCAAGAACATCTTCATCTAATAAAAATAATAATAAAGCGGTGGAATAATCAGTAACATGACTCCTTCGGGCTCCTTACCATCAGTATATAATTTAATAACACAACATACTTGGAGGTTCATGGGTAGTTCTAATTTTAGGAAAAATTCCCCTAGCATAGGTTGTAACTATAGTTACTCTACTTGAAACCCTACTTACAACTGCCCATGAACCTCCAAGTACCCCCAAACCCTATTCCAATCATTGCGGACCCTGGTCTCAAACGCCCCCCGACTAATCGCTAATGTCCCAATGTCTCCTCACAAGTCAGAGCTCTTGCAGGGGGCAGTCAATGTTAGGGGTTTAGGGTGTAGGGTGTAGGGGTTGAGGGTTTAGGGCTTAGGGTTTAGGGACACCCAGTGCGTCCCAATGCCAGATCCGTACGCCCTTCTACTTCTGAGTCACAAGCCGGAAAAATACGTTTAACTCTTCAGATACAAGTGTTTTCTGAACAAAGCTTTTAGTTTCGTGACCACCATGGACCCCTAACCTCCGAACAGCTTCATGGGCAGTTCTCTAAAGTAGGGTCTGTTTTTTGGTCCCCACTATAGCACCGCACCCTTATAAAAGGGACCCTAAACGGGACCTAATTTAGAGAACTACCTTCATGCCATCTACAGGGAGCACCACGTTCAGAAGGATGAATGCATGGGTTTGGCATCAGCGGAAGCAATGAGAGAGGACAGCGATCGATGTCGAATACAGCTTTCCTTGCAGATGAAGCTCTCTTCGGGAAGCTGCACAAGGGAAGGGAGTGAGAAAAGGAAGCAAGAAAGCAACCACAGAAACTACGGAAGAAAGACCCTAAACCCTAAACCCTAAACCCTACCAACACTAAGCAGCACCAGGAGGCCAGAAATCAAGGAAGTAAGCCAGCAAAGGCTTAAGGCAGGAGAGGCAGAGCCTAAACCCCTAAACCCCTAAACCCTAAACCCAAAGCTCCTGAACCCTGCACCCCTAAACACTTAACCCTAAACCCCTAAACCCTAAACCTTGTGCGGACTGCTCTGACCTTTGTATAGTCCCAAGCCTTGGGTTCTCGGTAGGAAAGTGGGCAAGTAAGGCTTTAGGGTTTAGGGTTTAGGGTTTAGGGTTAAGTAAGGATCCATCACTTCTGCTGCCTCCTTGGCTTCGGCTGTGACGCCATCTACCCCTACCTCTGCTACTGAGCAGCTGAATGGGTACGCTTTACATTCTTTGGGATATGATCAACCCTTGCAGAACTGAAAGTGTACACTTACCGGGGCTTATCTTAGGGTTTAGTGTTTAGGGCTTCGGGGTTTGGGGTTTAGGGTTTATAGGGCTTATGAGCTGACGGACAGAGTCTGGGTTCAAAATTCAAAAACATAGGGCTTATGAGCTCAGCAGCTCAGGCTACCTCAGCCTGCTCCGCGTCCGGGGCACCGACCTCCCCCTGAACCAGCGCATCGAGAACTTCCGCAAAGCCTCTGACGGAGGTATCCTGAAGGTCATGAGCAACTCGGTCCCCAAGAAGTACCCTGTTATTCTTAGAAGTATAACACATACGTAAATATACGACGTATCTACGTATGTTTTTTTATGTAATGTTATGTTATGTCATGTTACAAAGTTTTGTGGTGACTTCCCAGTCATTGCTGATTGATCATAGGAACAAGGGCCCTCGAACCGCCGTTGTTCGGAAGTTGATGCCGGGGAACCGAGGCAAGATGGGCATCTCCTGTCTGCAAAGCTACAAGGGCGCGCAGCTTTTCCAGGCGGTGGGCATGGACAAGGACGGGTTCTCCTTTGAAGCTAAGGGTTTTTAGGGTTTAGGGCACCTTGCAGAGGTCCGCGTAGTAAGGATCCCCAATATTTGGGGTTCTATAACAGTCTCCATCAGCATTTCTGGGGCCTTCCAGGAAGTCATCGCCAAGTGCTTCACCGGCTGCAAGTTCGTGCTCAATGGCGCAGGTGTCAACATCTTCGAGATGGATGCGATGGAGTTGCACAAGATGGCGTTCCCTGACCGGCCTCAGCCCCCTCTGGTCGATACCGAGGTCGAGGAGTTGGAGGACTTTGGGGAGTATCACTTCCGCAGCATCCATGAGACGGAGATCCACATGAACACGCCCGATGTCATCTACAAGATGCAGGAGGCAGCGCGCTCCAACTCCACCGAGGCCTACAAGATGTTCTCCACCTGGCAGAACAAGATCACCGAGCAGACGGAGATCCGCGGGCAGCTGGAATTCCTGTCTGAGGAGTACGATCCGATTGACATCTCTGAGGTCGAGCCTGCAGTCGAGATCGTAAAGCGTTTCTGCACCGGCGCCGCCTCCTTCGGCTCCATCTCTGATGAGGCCCACCGTGCCATGGCCATTGCCATGAACCGCGTCGGCGGCAAAAGCAACACCGGCGAGGGTGGCGAGGACCCGATGCGCTTCACGCAGCTTGAGAAGGGTGAGTTCGTGGCGGGCGGAGCCACCTGGGACATCGTGAACGGCGACTCCTTTCGCTCGAAGATTAAGCAGGTCGCCTCGGGGCGCTTTGGGGTTACGGCGGAGTATCTTGCCAATGCAGAGGAGTTGCAGATCAAGTTGGCGCAGGGCGCCAAGCCGGGCGAAGGAGGTGAGCTGCCAGGCTACAAGGTGATCGGCAAGATTGCCGAAACTCGCAAGGCAACCCCGGGCGTGGGCTTGATCTCTCCGCCTCCACACCACGACATGTACTCCATCGAGGATGTGGCGCAGTTGATCAAGGATCTTAAGAATGCCAACCCCGCAGCTCGCATCTCCGTGAAGCTCGTGGCTCGACTCGGCATTGGCGTCATCGCCTCTGGCGTCGTCAAGGGCAAGGCGGACCACCTGACCATCTCGGGTATGTCCGGCGGCACTGGTGCGGCGAAGTGGGGCTCCATCAAGCACTGTGGGCTTCCTTGGGAGATCGGTCTGGCAGAGACCCACCAAACCCTGGTTCTCAACGGCCTTCGTAACCGAGTGACCCTGCAAACAGACGGCCAGGTGCGAACAGGTCGGGATGTGGTGATCGCCGCCATGCTGGGCGCCGAGGAAATTGCCATGACGACTGCTCCCCTCATCACTTTGGGATGCATCATGATGAGGAAGTGCCACTTGAACACCTGCCCCGTGGGCGTGGCGACGCAGGATCCTGAATTGCGAAAGAAGTTCACAGGGCAGCCAGAGCACCTCATCAACTACCTCTTCATGGTCGCTGAGGAGGCGCGTGAGATCATGGCCTCCCTGGGCATTAAGAAGTTCAACGACCTCATCGGACGAACCGACCTCCTCCGTCCGAAGGGATGCTAGGTCGCATAAGTAGTGTACCCTTGTGCCGCTTTTTAAAGGTTGTTAACCCAAAAGCTGAAGAATAGGACAAAAGCATACACCCTCCCTTCTTCAGGGGATACCTGAACCCTAAACCCTAAACCCTCAGCCCACACCAAGGATATCCTAAACCCTAAACCATAGACCCTAAACCCTATAAGCCCTAAACCCTAAACCCTAAACCCTATAAGCCCTATAAACCCTAAACCCTAGCCCCTATAAGCCCTAAACCCAAAAACCAAGGATATCTCAAGGACAACCCGAAGACTGCCGACCTGGATTTCGCCGACCTCCTCAAGCCGGCCTGGACCATGGAGACTTGGCTCAGGGTTTAGGGTTTAG